CCCCAAAACCCCAAAACCCCAAAACCCCAGGGAACCTCAAGAGTGCTGATTATGTTTTAAATAAAACAACCATATTCTCTTTATGCTTTTATACCTCAAATCAATAAGAAAGAAATCACTGAGCATCCTAAGAAGATTATCATTGGCCACCTTCCTGGAATCTCTGCAAGGAGAGGGGCAATTACTGCACCAATTTTACCTGAGATGTTTCAGAGATTGTAAGCAGTCACTGCTATCTTGCTCTCGAACAGAGTTGGACAGGCGAAGTACATCGATGCAAAGTTTGCACTCGCAGATAATTTTAGCACAAATATGACTATAATGATAAACTCAGAACGCTGGAAGAAGATAATGTAGATCACTGCACTGATTATACATACTCATTGAAAGAACTGAGTGGCATGGGTGAAACCCATCTTACTGATTAAGATTCCGTTCAGAGTTTTGGAAATGAACTCAGCAACAGCTGCAAGTAGAATCATGAGAAAGATCCTCTCAATTGGCACATACTTAATGTAGAAGTTCATCAGGTAGTTCATTATTCATGCTACAAACCAGAATGAAGCTATTATGATGAGATGGTACCTATCTTTGCGGTTCTTCCACAGAAGCGTCAGAGGGGAGGGTCCTTTCTCTATAATTTCCATACAATCTTCCTGTGAGTTATTTGAGTTCTCTTCTAATCTAAGATCATTATGAAGAGGTATCTTGTCTCTATCTTTGCTTTTTGAAATACTATTAAGAACACCAATCGCTTCTTGGTCTCTCTTTTGACTAAAAAGCCATCTCGGACTTTCAGGGATGAAGAAGGTATTTATACAGTTCAGAACTCAGATTGTCAAAGTAAAGAGGAAGAAATATATCCAATAGTCAGTGATTTTCCAAAAATAAATGGCTAAAAACATTGGAACTCATGCGTTAATCATCTGTGTTACTGTGCTTGACCATATTTGGTACCTCTTTTGTAAGAATTCGCATCCTGTTGTGTAGCTAACACTTCATCTCACTGAACCGACAAACCCTCATAGAAATATACAAGCATATCTGGTATATAGGTTGGAGATAAAGATAATGAAGAAGAAGGCTATAGTGTGGCCAATGTAGCTAACTCTCGTTCAGATTTTTCTCCCGTACATATCTGAGACATTGACAAACACTATCGAGCCGAGGAGGTATCCGAAGTAGTACATGCTTCCGAAGAGGCCTATCTTCCATTTTTCAATACAATAGATATTCATATCTGAGATCCAGTTCTTAATGCTTCGTTCTTCTTCCCAATTAATGGCCCAGTTGTGGCTATCGCAGGCTTCCTGTCTAGATCAGTTAGTGTATCCTCCTGTTGTTGCGTCATATCACTGAAATTGGGGGAAGAGTTCTACAAGTGGAAGTGCAAAGGACAAGAAACCTCCCATTCAGAAGCCAATAGCATGTACGATGGTAGAAAAGACCTGAAACCTCTTGGATACATTCTCTAGAAGATTATCTACTGTGATCTTTTCCTTATCAGAGATCTCCATTTTATTATATTGAGAGTTCCCACAAAAGGTTTATAAAGGGGTTTTGGGGTTTTGGGGTTTTGGGGTTTTGGGG